TCTCAAAGAAATGCTTTCTTTCTCTCTCATGGAATATTGGTATGAAATTTTAGATTTTTTTATTATTTATAAGTCGGTTGGTCGGTCGGTTCCTTTGACATCGGAAGAGCCGACCGACCGACTAGTCGATTTTTCAACCGACACCGACCGGCTCATATCTCAAACCGACCTACCGACGTCGGTTTTTGTCGGTCGGATCGGTTTTTCGGTCTCGTTTGATCACCCCTACTAATTACACAAATTAATAAAAAAATCAATTAAATAGTTGGAGTTTCATTAATAACGATAAATTCTAATTACCAATTAATTACATTACTTAAAAAGATCTAAATCTAACTTTCTTAAAATCTGTATAAACTAGTTATATAATTTCCTTAAACTAGTTAATTCTAAATTTGTTAATGTTATGTAGTTTATTTATCAATTTAATGTAATTATTATAAATCTTTTATAATTAACATATAATAAAAAATAAAAACAACAAAATAAGCATGGAAAAAAAACATAAAACTAGTTTATATATAAAAAACTGAAAATCAATCTAGAAACATAAAACGACAAAATCAACGTAATATATATACATAAATATAATATGAGGAAAAAATACATGGTCCCAAAAAAAAAAAACACAAATAATATATAATAGAAAAGAGAAAAAACTAACATTGCCCAAAAAATTAGTTGGAGTTGATGCAAGTGGTCCCTAGAACCACAACAATGGTATTAAAAAAATAAAATTATTGCAAAAGTTTACTAAAAAAACAAAAAGATCGAATACTTACAATGGAGCGGCGACAGTGGCCAGAGGGGAGCGGCGTTGATCGACGGCCAGAGGGATGCAGTAGTGATTGGCGATCGGAGGGATGCGGTGAACGAAATGGGATAGATCTGGAGGGAGAGAGAAACAAAACACAATGGTCGCCGGCTGTTTCTTTTTTCAAAAAAACTCTAACCTTTATCGTCTCTTCAAGAGACGACTAAGGCGCCAGGTGTCACCCATGTCAAATGGGTCGTCTCTAAGAAACCACCAAGTGGGTTTTGAAAAAAAACCGCGTAGCATGTTGTCTGTTTGCTACGTATTTAAAAAAAAAATCATTGTCATCTCAAATGACTAACTTTGATTTAAAAAAAAAATAACGTGGCACTTTGTAAGCGCCACATTAACAGGTCTGTCTCTTGAAAAGACCACATTTTAGTGACACTACATAGGTCTACACAGGTCGTCTCACCTAGTATTTTCCAAGCATTATTATTGAAAATAATTTAAAAAGTGACATATATTTGGAATAATTTTTAAAATTAGCGTTACTAAAAAAATCCTACTATTATTGCCTTTGCGCAAAAAAAAAAAATGTTAGTATTATTGTTAAATGATACACCCTTTTGTCTAAAACTTCAAAATGCACATGCAAAGTACTTTCTAAAGTACCATATTGTCAAGTATAGCCAACTTTTTCTTCCATCAATAAAAAACATTTTTGAATATCCCAAGAAATTTTTTTTTTTAAGGTAAAATTTGATGTTAAAAAATATTGAACTATCGAATCAAGTTTTCTAAAATCCTCAATAGATATATGGATATACGAACAATAATAATAAAAGAAAAAAAAAAAGACAAAAGACAAAACAAAACAAATTATTGGAGGTACAAAAGCTTGTATGTTTGAATTAATAAAACAAAATTTAAAACTCCTAAAAGATAAAGTTTTAAATCATTAAAAAAAATAACTGAACTTGGAATATTCGCTGAAAAGCACCCACCCCGGTTCTACCTCCAATATTTGTTAGATGAAAATATAAAATTAACAGCACGGCCATTATTGACAAAGTTTCATTTGTCATTACCTCTATAAAGCCATAGATACAACACTCCTATTGCCAAACCACAATTTGGAAAATATGAGATTACTACCATTTTACTTTTTTCTTGCTCTCTATCTCGGGGCTCGTGCTGCCGAGGCCGATGTCTCTTTCTCTATGTTGGGCTCGACCAGCGAAACCTACAAACAGTTCATAAAGAACGTACGTAGTGCCCTCACAGTGGGATCACAAATCGTGTACGACATACCCGTGTTAAAAGCAACAGCAACGGGATCGGCGCGGTTCTTACTAGTGCATCTCACAAACTATAACAGTGAATCCATCATTGTGGCAATAGACGTAGTGAATGTATATGTTGTAGCATATCGAGCTGGGAACAATGCTTACTTTCTAAACGATGCTTCAGCTGAAGCAGACAGAGTGTTGTTTCAAGGCATCAATCACGTGAAACTTTCCTATAAAGGAAACTACGATGGACTTGAGACAGCAGCAAAGATTTCAAGAGAGAAAATTGATCTTGGGTTTTCTGAAATAAGTAGTTCTATCGGCAACATGTTCCATCATAACGCTGGTACTTCTGTCCCTCGAGCATTCATTGTGATCATCCAATCAGTCTCAGAAGCTGCAAGATTTAAGTACATTGAGCAAAGAGTTTCTGAAAATGTTAAGACTACGTTCAAGCCAGATCCTGCCTTCTTAAGTTTACAAAATCGTTGGTCCGATCTATCTGAACAAATACAGATTGCACAGAAGCGAGGAGGGGAGTTTGCTCGTGCTGTTGAGCTTCGAACTGTTAGCAACAAACCAATTCTTGTAACTGATGTTAGTTCGCCTGTTGTGAAAGGCATTGCACTTCTATTGTACTACAAAGTTAGTGTCGTCATGGATGATAACATTATCAAAGTGCCAATGGCTACCTACTAAACTACTAGATGAATCAAATCGTATGCACTATGTAAGATAATTAATAATAAAGGATATCTATGTTTATGAAATGTTCTTTGCTTATTTTTTGTTCGTCTCTATATTCTTAATATATTTCTTACCATCTCTCAACTTTTCATAAAAAAATAATTTTAATTCTTACCATTTAACTTTTTTAAAATTATATAATATGTAAACAACATAAGCAGTCTTTTGTTACGTTGATTGATTCGAAGAAGCCTGTGTAGATAAATGTTTAGAAACTATTAAGATTGGATATATTGGGTGTGCAAGATGGATTTAAGATCTTATTAAATAATTAATAGAAAATTAACCTTTTTTTTTTTTTTTGTAAAGTTCAAGGGCTGAAATCAAACCATTAAAAATGAAATACTAAAATTTGAAAATTGAAAAAATGTCTTTAGACAAAATTGAAATAAAAAATATGAAAATTGAAATGTGTCTTATCATCACCATTAGAGGATTTTATTTTTTGAAATATTATGAAATATTAGAATTGTCAATTATCTGAATAGAAATTTATTAATAATAAAGACTTATGACTACATTTAAGAAAATTTAACTAAGTTTATTTTAAGAAATAAAAAATAAAGTAATAAAGTATTTATCAAAATGAGTAATCTGAAGTATTCTAATAGAGTTTTTTTTTCTCTTTTTTCCATTTCTTTTGCATGAACAATAAAGTATTAACTCAAACAAAAAATATGTAAATAGGAAGAAAACTGTAAAAACACAACAATAACGACACGTCAAATTATCGTGGTTCACCAGACTACGTCCAGTCTTCCACTCAGATGTGTGTAGTTCACTAATAATTATTTAAGAATTGGATACAATAAACTATCGAAAAAAAAATCTCCTAGAGATCCTAACAAAAGCCCACTAGCTTCTAAGTATTTTAAGAAAATTAATACTTAGGAACATGAATGAAAAACTCACAAATATAATCAAGATACTACATCCTCAACAAATTTGATCTTGATCTCCCAATTTGTGATGCCAACACCCGAGCCGCTGCCACAAAAACTGCTGCAAAAAATCCCAATTTTGCTGCCCCTACAATTCTGACAGCTACTCCCCATAAAACATAAACTCATATTTATATGACTATGTGAAACCTAAAAATAAACGTTTGAGCTTTTGGTCCATTATTTGTTTTCACTCCTTCCTTTTTATTTATGTATTTTATTTTGTATCCAAATAACCCAACAAATACTTAGTCATTGTAAACATAATTTAATGTCTCTATATTTATGGTAGATCAAATATTGCAACCCACGTTATTCATAATTATATTTCCTCAAATACCTCCTCAAGAACAAAATTAATAAGCAGTTAGTTTGTTGGAGCAAATTATCGGCTACCACATGTCGAGGAAACGTGCGTCGCAAAATCTGCAGGCATCCCATGACATGGAAAATTAAAAGTAACTCTTCACTAAGAAGATATCGATAGCTTGGCAAATATTGCCGAGCCAACCCATTTAATATACATCGGTTTATCTTTCTATAGGACAAGTTGACCTTCAATAATATTTGTAGGTGCTTAATTAATTACCTCAAACCAAATGTCAGATAACATGCAGCATTCGCGGTGCTATTGGAAGGTTGTTGTAACGATTCAAGAGGCTTTGTTGGAAGCTTACCTCTGCCTATACAAAGCCCCACTTTATATTTGAGATACGTAAAACTATACTGTCTCGAGCATGTTGGGTATTTTATCCTAAAAATCATAGTTTGTAAACAGTGAACATTAATGTGAGGTTATTCAGAAGTGTTGTTAAATGAGAGTGAATTTGTTTTTTAATAATTCTAAATCCAATAAACTACGAACTCTTCGCTATAATAATGAGTACTTGGACTTTATGTGGAGACATAAACTGGATCAAGTTCAAGTTAATAGCCTAAACAGTCTATAGTACATGGATCAAGTTGGGTACTTTTTCCTGGAGACACTATTGAATACGGCCCGCTTTATGATTGTTACAAATGTTGTAACGTGTCAGAAACGAAGTGATCCTGATTCGTTCATGTAGAAACATGTGAGCGGGGGTGTTCTACCCAATGAGATTGTGTAAAACTGACCTTGAAATAATCATTGTTACGAATTAACACCGTTTACGGATAACACTGATTAATTTCGTTTATCGATGACCTAGATAACTTGATCTAAATCCTGAGCCGTCTATGAACTCCTATTTA